TCAAATCTTACCCACAATCTTTCATTCGCAAGAACCACACTACTGAAAGCAAAAAAAAAGGTTTGGTCGGATAAGATGGATACCCCAAGTTCGAGCAAAGGTAGTGATCAAGTCACTGAGAGGGAGGAGCCTGCACCTGTGGTGATTGGAGAAGGATCGTCGACTACACAGATTGAGGCCAAACCGCGACAGGCTACGGATAAGCCCTGTAAATCACAGAAGTCTAAGAATGACAAGGCGGATAAGAGTTACAAGTCCAAGAGCAAGAAGACTAAAGCGCCAGTGGAGACTGAATCCGAGAGCGAAGATGATGAATCCTCGGATTTAGATTCTTCTTCGTCTTCTTCTAGTGACTCGGATAATTCTGAAGCCGAGACTGAAAAGGAAAAGAAGAAGAGAAAGGCTAAATTGAAGGCTAAAAGAAAGCTTAAGGAAAAGCGTAAGGCTAAATCAAAGAAGGCCAAGAAAGATGTGGGTAGCGGTCCGTTCCATTATCAAATACGCTAAATACTAATATTTTCTAGGATACTTCCGAGTCCGAATCAACTTCCGATTCTGACTCCGAGGACGATGATGAAGATGCCGAAGAAGATTCCGGGGATGAAGAAGCCGAGGACAATACCGACAAGGAGACTGAAGTCACCAATGCACAACTTCAAGCACAAATATTGCAACTCCAGGCACAAATTCAGAGAACTCAGATGTCACATCATCCTCCCCAACAACAATTGCCACCCTCATTATGGAATCTTCCACCCCCACCTCCACCACCCAGTTCGCTGCCTAATGCTGCAAGGCGCCAAATGTTGCGAAGAAAGCAATTGATGGATGAGCAGCAGCAGAAGGAAGGAAAAAGGGGCAAGAAAGAAAAGGGCAAGAAGAAGAGAGGAAGCAAGTTGGAATACAAGAGGGTGGATCAATTATGGGATAATACAATCCATAATTACAAGCTTACTGACACTGCAGAGGATGAAGAGAGTTCGGAATATGATCAGTATCTCTTCAATGTTCGCCGAACATTTGATTGGGAGGGAAAGTACAAGGTATGTTTTCTAAATTTCTTGCTAGACCGTCTGTTAACATTTTAAAGGCAACTGTTGTTGATATTAAGAGCAAACTTTTGAAAGAAGCTCTTACTGAAACTATGGATGGTGTCAAGGGTGTTAGTTTGGTCGAAGAGACCCCATGCATTGATCCCAATCTTCTCTTCCTTTACCTCGAGGATCTCCGAAAATCTTGCAAACAATTGAAAAACAAAAAGATCACGGAAAAGAAAGGCAAGAAGAAGATTAAGAAGAGAAATGAGACCAAGAGAAAACATCTCAAAGTTCTCTTGAAATATCTCGATAAGGATTATGCTTCTACCAAGAAGACTCTTTATCCTATGTTGGAGACTGGAATCATCACATTCGATCTTCTCTGGGCCTTGTATAAGCCTAATACATTTGCTTATACCACAACATATGGAACCATCGATGAGCCAAGAGCTTTCAAAATCGAGTTGGCTGAGAAGAATATCAGTTTCATGAGGGGTACTTGGTATAATATTGAGGGTAAATATTTGGAGTATGATGGAAAGACATGGGGAATGGGTATGTTTCATCTATGTTCCACCAAAAAATACACTAACATCATCTTAGGTACCATGGACTGTGATGTTCCAGCCTTCAAGGGCGCAAGAAAGATCACAAGTCTTAATTGCTATCCTTTGAAATATCACAAGAATGAAGCCAAACTTCGCGCTGAACTTATTGAGAGGGGCAAGAAATTTGTGGCCTTGCAAGGTGTTCATTACAAGAGTCACAAGGGAATGGCATACTACAAGAAGCGTAAGGCTATTGTCAAAGTCAATATTGATGGTAGAGTTATGGTGGACCCCGCTATTCATCGACGAATCTTACCGAATTACAACGTCAGTACCGTCAAGCCCAATGATCCAGATCTTCTTGACGACTCGGATGATGACTCAGATGACGAATGTGGTTGTTGTGGCGATGACAGTTCTGATGATGGTCAAGGAGATCGTGGTTTCGAAAAGCGAGAGGATAGCGATGAACCAAAGATGAAACTTAAGGTTGTTCTCGATGAAAAGGAGAAACCTCATCTAGTTCAAGTTCCTGTCGATGAGGATGGAAATGAAGTCGTGATTGAGAAATTGGATGAAGTTCTAAGTAAGGCCACGACCAAGGAAAACAAGGATGTTGCGGTACCAGAAGATGACAAGAAAGCTCTCCCTGTATTTACCGATGAGGAATACTTGATTGCATCTCCTGTTGTTCTCGGGTTTGCCTTTGCCGAAAAACTTTGGCTCGAATTCACCGTTTCAGGTATCAAAGATATCGTTTGGAATGAAGGTGCTTACGATTCTCTCGTCTTGGAAGACAACACCAAAGCCATCGTTAAAGCACTCGTTGAATCCCACAAATATCACCCAGCCGAAAGCATCGACGACGTTATCCAAGGGAAAGGAAAAGGACTCGTGGCCGTCCTTCATGGTCCTCCTGGTACGGGTAAAACTCTCACCGCAGAGGGGATTTCCGAACTTCTCAAATGTCCTCTCTACATGGTTTCAGCCGGAGAACTCGGTACCGATCCTCGTACCCTCGAAGCCGAACTCCAGAAAATTCTCGATATTGCACACGCGTGGGGTGCTGTCCTTCTTCTTGACGAAGCAGATGTTTTCTTGGAGAAACGAACGATTCAGGATATTCATCGTAATGCTTTGGTTTCTATTTTCTTGAGACTTTTGGAATATTTCCAGGGTATTCTTTTCTTGACCACAAATCGCGTCGAGACATTTGATGATGCGTTCCAATCACGAATTCATATCGCACTCCGATATGGAGATTTGAGCCCGAAGGCTAAGAAGAATGTTTTCAAGATGTTTATTGAGAGGGTTAGGATTTTGGAGGGTACTGATACCATGCCGTTTACCGAGGAAGATTATAATGCATTGGCGAGGAACAATTTGAATGGAAGACAGGTATGTTTCTTTCTTTTTCTTTTTTTTCACTCACCATCTCTCTACATTCTTCATCCTCGTTCTTCAATTTAACTCACATCCCCCCTCCTAGATTAAAAATACCATCCGCACAGCTCAAGCCCTCGCCGTCAATAACAAAGAACCTCTTTCCATGGAACACATCAAACGTGTTTTGGATGTGTCAAATGCTTTTGATAGGGATTTGAAAGGAGGCACCGGTTTTGAAGATGCCATGAGGGGTTACTTTTAAATTTTCCGTCGAATGATGGGGCAATGGCGGGGAATGGTGGGGTGGGGGTTTCTCTCTGGGGCATAAACAAAACATTCTTAGTGGTCTGTCTTTTTCCAAATTTTTTCTTTTCTTGTTTTTGGTTTTGGGGGAAGGGGCGGGGAGGGAAGGGGAATTGGATGATATGGGATGGGATGGGATGGGATGGGATGGGATGGGATGGGATGGGATGGGATGGGATGGGATGGGATGGGATGGGATGGGATGGGATGGGATGGGATGGGAAATGGAATCGAAGGGGAAGGAAAGGCGGGACATGATAATTATTGGTACCTATTGACAAACCCCCACTCATGAATCTTTTGGATTTTCTTGTTGGAGGATATTTACATTTTAAACCTTGTTTTGCTAGGTTGGGTTGGGGTTGCGATCGGGTCTGTGGGTGTGCGGACGGATTGGGTGTGCGAATGAATGAATGGATGGATGGATGGGTAAATGAATCCATTCATCCATCCGTAGATATGGCAGCAAGCAGGATGCAGGCAGGACGCAGGCAGGACGCAAGCAGGACGCAAGAAACAGGATCGAACTGGTTCCTCTGGAGGAATAATGATTGAATATCTAGGTACTGTGGGTCATTTATGGAAAGGATGGAAAGGAAAGGATGTTAAGGAAAGGATGTTAAGGAAAGGATGTTAAGGAAAGGATGTTAAGGAAAGGATGTTAAGGAAAGGATGTTAAGGAAAGGAAAGGAAGGAAGGGAAAGATTTATGAATTAACTGGGCGTGATGGAATGGGATGTATGGATGAGATGAGATGATATAGGTGATACGGATCATATGGATGATATAGTGAGGTGGGCAAGAGCGATTCAGATTCTCTTTGCTCATTTATTCATTTATTCATTCATTCATTCATTCATCTATGGTGGCTGGATATCTGTCTATCTATCTACTCAGCAAAGGTTTAGGAATAGCAAGCATGAATAGCAAGCATGAATAGCAAGCAATGGATTTTTATATCACATCACATCGTATCTCATCGTATCACATCATGATACAAACATCTAACTCTGAATCTAACTCCCAACTCTCCAAATCCATCTTCGAAATAAATCCAAATCCAAATCCAAATCCACACATTCGCTAGGTATCAACATCAACATCAAAATCAACTACCTATATCAACATCAACATCCCCCCCACTCCAATTCATTTCAATAATTCAATAATTCAATCCATCCATCCATTCAGTACAAAACCTCAAATTAATCATTCTATCGATAATAATATGATAATACCCATCACCTCATCGAAAGCTCTTCAAAAAATCTTTCTTTTGATCTATCTATCTCTGTATCTCACTATCTCTCTCTCTCTCTCTATCTCTCTATTGATTGGTCCCTATAAAATTTATATGTTAATTAGGTAGGTACGTAGGTACGTTTTGGTATGTTCTGGTAGGTACGGTATATTCTGGTATGTATAGAGAGAGCTAGATATATATAGAGATATATTTAGCTACCTACATTTAGCTATATATATGAGGCAGGCCTCAGCTAAAGATACCCTTAGGAAGGTGTGGTATTTCCATTTCCATTTCCATTTCCAACTAATAGTATTTTGAGCCTAGAGAGGGTGTGTGTATGTGTTTTTTTTCAAACGTCAGGTGGTTCGGACTTAATGTTAATGTTAATGTTATAAGGGGAGATTTGGGCCACAATCCTTCCCCTCGACACAAAAAACAATCCTTCTCCCCAATCCCCCACAAACGAAGACGAAAAAATTCGGGCGCGTGGTTTAGGGGTATAACGTTCCTTTCGCACATCACTGTATATCTATATACAATGTATACTATGTCAGTGAAAAAATCGTGAGATTAGGAAAGGTCTTGGGTTCGATTCCCAACCCGTCCATTTTGTTAAATTCATTTCAGATTCGTTCGGTTCTGTTCAGTCCATTGCTCGTCCGAGTGAGGGGTTATGTTTTTTTTGGGGGGATTTTTTTGGGATGTTTTGGCGATTTTTTGGGATGTTTTGGGGGATTTTTTGGGGAGGGCGGAAAATCCAAGGTTTCTTTTTTTTTTTTGTATGGTATGATGGATGGTATGGTATATATGGTTTGATGACCTACCTACCTACCTAGGTCCATGCACGCACATATATATATTCCCAAGATTTTCTTTTTTTTCTTTTTTTTCTTTTCCTTTCTTTCTTTATTTTTGTGGTGGGATTTTTGTGGTAGAAGTTTTGAGATGAGCAGGAGGGGAAGAGAATGTGTGTGTCTGTCCTCTATCTATCTATACCTACTAGGTACCTATGTGTGTGTGTATGTGTGGAACAAAGAGGGGTGAGAGGGGTTAATGGGTGGATGGGTGGGGAGTAAGAAGTGGGAAGTGGAAAGTGGGAAGTGGGTGGGTGTACGGGAAGCACGGTGATACGGGTCCTTTCATTTCTTCATTTCTCTATTCTCCATACCTACCTCTCTACCTCTCCCTCTCTATACAGTACATCCCTACGAAAGACGCCTGCAGAACGAGATTCCATCGGGTCTAAAGGATAAAACGGCTCGGGCGGAAAGAGGAGGAAGGGGGGGTGTGGAGCAGTGGAGTCACCTCAGTGAGCTCAAGCTGGGGAGTTGGGAAAGTTTGAAGAATAGATCGATATCCAGCAGATAGAGGTACTTACTGTATATCAAAACTCCAAATAGAGTAAATACCGAATAGTATATCGAAAAATAATATCAACGGAGGAGAGTCATTTCATTATAATTTTACATCGTTTGCATACATAATACATGCCATGAATCAAATAGCCAAAAAAAACAGAAGAAATAGCCAAACGCATCTTTTTAGAATTCAATCAAAATCGAAATCTTTTCTATATTCCTTCCTTCCACCATACGTGTACATACATGCGAATGAAGACGCGAGTATTGGACTGGAATTTAGAGTCAAGGATTCATTTCTAGGATCATTTCAGGGTATTGAGTTTTTTGTAGAAGGTACTTTTCGTTCGGCTATTTGATCATAGAGATTTAGGAGGGTATTTTTTGACTTTAGTTTCCTGGGTTCTTGGAGACGAATTCAACACCCTTTTGGATGTTCTGTAAGGGAAAAGTGAGTTAGTTATATGGGTAAAAATGAGTGGAGTCAAAAGGATAAACAAACCTTCTTCAAGTCGGCCAAGCATGCTTCCAACAACTTCTCCTCGGCAGCATCAATCTTTCCAACTTCCAAAATCTTTTGAACACCATCTGGTCCCAACTCAACCTTGCTGGCAAAGAAATCAACACCTTGATCCTTGTACAATGGGCTGTCAACGAAAGTTGGCTCAACGATACCAGTTTCTCCTTGGGAGGCCTTCAATAATGATTCGGCCATACGGGCACCAGCCATAGCCATGGAGAGAGTAGCGGAACCAGCACCATCCTTAGCTTGAACGACCTCATCACCACCGAATTGAACACGCTTGAGAAGGTTCTCGTTACCGACAAGATCTGGGTGGGAGGATTGAGAGAAGAGAGGAACAATGGTAACACCAGAGTGTCCACCAACAACAACAATGTTCTCATCAGCAGGGTCGGACTTCTTGATCTCACTGACGAATCTGCTGGCTCTAACGACATCCAAAGTGGTAACACCGAAAAGTCTCTTTGGGTTGTAAACTCCCTTGGCCTTGAAGATCTCGGCAACGATTGGGACAGTTGAGTTAACTGGGTTGGAAATAACGAGGATGTTGGCGTTTGGTGCAGACTCAGCAGCAGCCTTGGCGAGATCGCGAACGATGGATGCGTTAGTGTTGAAGAGGTCGTCACGGGTCATACCAGGTTTACGTGGGACACCAGCTGGGATCAAGACGATTTCAGCATCTTTGAGAGCGGCGGCGAGACCAGATGGTGTTGGCTCATATCCAGTAACCTTGGACTTGGTGTTGATGTGGGAGATATCTGCTGCGACACCTATTTATCCAATTGAATGTCCCATTAGCACATCTGTACATTCAATTCCCTTTATTTTAGACCTCAACAATATTCTTCTAGAAAATGACGCCGACGAACCTGGACCTCCACGGATATCGTACAAAGCCAAATCGGTAACGCGGGGGTTTAATTTGAGGAGAAGAGACAATGGCTGTCCGATTCCACCAGCAGCACCGAGAACTGTAACTTTAGACAGCTATTTTGAGTAAAATTAGTTGAGATTCATCATGACGGAGCCAAGTAAATAGGTACAAGAAACATCGAACGGAATATTATCTTACATCTCTAGCAGAAGCAGAGAAAGCTCTGCATTGGACTGCGCCAGTCAATGCTCTTCGTGCGGCGAACATGATGTGGGATATATTATGTGATGGTGGAAAGGGGGAGAGAAAGTTATAAATTATTCAATATTTGATGAGGGACAGAAAAAGAAAAGACTTTCGTTGGAGAGGAATCTACAAGCTGTGTTGTGCTGAGCGAAGTTTCCGGATTGTTCCCGATCGTTGAGACTAAACCAAAAGGGGAAAGGTGACAGAATTCTGACGTATCACGTGTGGATGGTGGACCGAGGTCGGTAAAATTGGAAGATCTTTGGATTTTCATAAGGCGGTTATTTCTGGAAGGTTAAAAACCATGGTTCTAGCTGGAGATATGAATCTTGATAGTTACGTTACCGGTATTGTTATTTGAGAAGTACTCAAATGTTGAAACTTAGACAGGTTGTCTTTGCAAATTCATTCCATCTTTCTTCCTCAAATTGCATTGCTTCTCATAGTTGAGAGCGGATTTGCCTTCCCTATCCTCAGTCCAAATGCTGGAGCTGGAAGATATAGGTATCATTAATATCATTCATTGACTGGTTCATTGGTTCTCAAACATCTTCCCCCTCAAATCTCAATGACTTTCTATGGATCTGGAGTCATTCGATGTTTGAGCTTTACCCGAGTACCTAGGGAGGTTATTCAAACCGTCCATCTGACTTCACTCATCCGATATCCGATATATTACTCAGGAGTCAGGACCCCAAAATATAGGTATCTCTTCACTCAACAACAATTGTTAAACCTCCGGAAACAAATTGCTCCTACATTTCAGATTTAAGTGATCCGATTCGAACGCTTGAACGGTCTTGTCGATCCAATCATGTTTCTGGCCCGGGTAAATCGGGAGCGTGGGGGAATACAGGTGGGGTTGTACAGAAATAGTAAGATTTACAACTTCGAATATCAGCCTGAATATACAGTTCTTGACTTTGTTGGCATGAAATGTATAACTATATGTATGCATTTGAACTTGGAGATACTCGATATTTCTATTTCTTTTTCATGATTCAACTCCTTGTAGTGCGGAATCACAATCTCCTTTAAATTTCACAGCACAAAATTCATTCATCTATCTCTCTCCTATTCTCAATATGTCCAATGGCATCCTTCGAGTAGAAGGCGAGCAAGTAGTTGATGCCTCAGGTAAACCCGTCATACTCCGAGGGGCTGGTCTGGGAGGATGGATGAATATGGAGAACTTCATAACTGGTTATCCCGGCCATGAACATCAACATCGAACTGCCATGTTGAAAGTTCTCGGCAAGGAAAAATATGAATTCTTCTTTGATAAGTTCCTAGAGTATTTCTTCATGGAAGATGATGCCAAGTTTTTTGCTAGCCTGGGGTTGAATTGTTTGCGTTTACCATTCAACTATCGACATTTTGAAGATGATATGAATCCTAGAGTCTTGAAAGAAAGTGGATTCAAGCATTTGGATCGTGTGATAGAACTTGTAAGTATTTCTTAGAAGGCTTTTTATTTAAATATATTGAGGCAAGCAGTGCGCCAAACATAAAATCTACACAATCCTCGATATGCACACCGTCCCCGGTGCCCAAAACCCAGACTGGCATTCCGACAACCCATCCAACTACGCCTCATTCTGGGACCACAAAGACCATCAAGATCGTACAATCTGGCTCTGGTCACAAATCGCCTTACGCTACCGTGATAATCCCTGGGTGGCAGGCTACAACCCCATCAACGAACCCTGCGATCCACTGCACCACCGCCTCCCCGAATTCTACACCCGTTTCGAATCCAGCATCCGCAAAATCGATCCCTCCCACATCCTCTGGCTGGATGGAAACACCTTCGCCATGGAATGGAAATCCTTCGCCACCATCCTCCCCAACTGTGCCTACGCGCTCCACGACTATTCATCCATGGGTTTCCCGACCGGAACCCCCTTCACCAACTCACCCACCCAAATCGAACACCTCGAATCCAGTTTCCTCCGCAAATGCACATTTATGAAAACCCACCACGTTCCCAGCTGGAACGGCGAATTTGGCCCCGTCTACGCAGACCCCTCGCTCGACGAAAATGCCGCCGAGGTAAATACCCAACGCTACAATCTCCTCGGCGCCCAACTCAAAATCTACGACAAATATCAAATCCCCTGGAGCATCTGGCTCTACAAAGATCTCGGACTCCAAGGCATGGTCGCCACATCCCCCAGCTCTCCCTATCACACCCTCGTGACTCCTTTCTTGCAAAAGAAACGCCATCTTCAACTCGATGCCTGGGGGTCCCCGGCTTCAGACTTCTTAAATAATGCTTTAGATCCGTTGATACAATGGATAGAAGATAATGCTCCCAAGGCGAAAGATCAATATCCAACACCTTGGGGGGTTCAAAGACAGCTTTTGAGAGGGGTAGTGCAGACGTATGTGGCGAGTAGTTTTGCAGATGAGTTTGCGGAGCTTTTTAGAGGGTTTGGGGAGGAAGAGTTGGAGGCGTTGGCGGGGAGTTGGAAATTTGAGAATTGTGTTAAGAGGGAGGGGTTGAATAGGGTGTTGAGTGATTTTGCGGAGGGGAGAAGGAAGGTTAAGGGAGAGTGAATGAGTGATGTAGAAAAGAGAAATATGTGATAATGCTGGGATTGGCA